CGTTCATCGTGGAAAAATGAGATATTCCGTCGCGTTTTGTCTTCTTCGGATTATTATCCCGCCGCGAGACTTATCGTCATCGCCAAGTCTTTCTTTATCACCGATCCTTGAATATTACTCGAAATTTTCATCTGCAATCGATGATGTATAAGAAAGCTTTGCAAAGGATCAAACGTATTTTTAATATGACCCGATACTAAAATCTCTTTCGTACACAAGCAAAACCGCTTTTTTTATTTTACCAGACATTATAATGTTTAAATTAAAATAACGAGAGTGTATTTGTAATGTTTCTGTTTCGAATGCCGGTTGAAACAAAAGACATCTAAAAGCCGAGTCAGTGGTGACACTGTCCGAAGATTAATACTAGGTATTTTATTAACCCTTTGAGGACGATGGACTTATAAAAGTGGAAATATGCAGGACTAATTCTCTGGTGGGCGGGAAAAAGTGTATAAGTCAAATTTTGATCAAATAGGACAAATACATTAACATATTCTACATTGCTGCCCTTTGCTTATGGTTCTAATAGTACAAGTCAATTTTCCTTCTTTCACACTCTTTTACCTGAGATTCTAATAGTATCTATGTCTCAAAAATGCAGTAAAATAAGTATAATACAGTATATTATAGGTGCCTCTCTGCAAAATTAATAATTCTGACTTATACTCTTTTGCCCGCCCACCAGAGAATGAGTGTGTGTGTGTGTGTAAAGTGTTAATGTAGTGTGAATGTAAAGAGAGAAACAAATGACATTAAAATAGTTGACCAATGAAGAAAGGTCCGGAAACTCTTCCTTTCCGAGATATAAATTTTGGCCACCTATCTTGGTGTCACCCTGTACATCAAAATGGTCCTTTTTTTTTCGTAGAGGAAATCTTCTGAAAGGCACCACCTCCTGGGGGAGGAGACAGTAATGTGAGATTCTTACTCGCTAAAACCTCCACGGTGACCCTCATCGGGCGCGCTGGGGGAGCCCCGGGATCTCTTGCGAACACGACCGGGACACCCCCGCGCCGTGGCTTGCACCCCGACCCGGGGGGAGGTAACTCCAAATAAATTACAATCACCTCCCTTCGATTGAACTCCGCCCGTAGGCCCTGCAGTACCAGTGCCGCCCATCTCGGGACCGCTATGTTGGGGAGTCCGGGTCCCTACCCGAACCCCCTACGGCCCTGGAGAGCCCCACCCTCACAGGAAAAGCTCCCTATCTTGGGAGGACAGGGATAATCCCCACCCTCAGGAGGCAAGCCTCCTCTACCTACCTGACTGACTTACAATTAGTAGTCCTGGGGGCGGGTCATCGCTGTTTGCCGGCCCGCTCTCCACCCCCTCAATAACCTTCTGAGGGGGTCCGTCCTCTTACGGACCCTCTCCGCGGTCTCCTTCTGCAGCATCACTTGCTCGCAGAAGAAGGCCGCGGCCTCTCACGATCCCCCCTGACACCATCAGCTCCACGACCGCTGCCAGAGAGAGGTCCCACATCAAAATGGTCCTTCCATAGCATCGCGCTTATACGAGAATTGTCTTCGCGAAAAAGTTCCTTAAATCTGCAATTATTCGCCACAAAATATCGACGCCTATAAGATCGCCTAATTCACCGTCGTGCAATTTCTAAACTTGCCACAAAATTACTATAACACATCATACTCTCAACAATAATCGCCCGATGTAAATTTAATCATTCGACGTGGACAAACGATTGCCTGAAATTTTCCCGGGATAGATTACTTTATAAATTAATTCGATCCCCGTCGATTCGGCTTCCATTAATTTTCCTGTTGAACGAAGCCGTCGCGACGGTTGGCGAAGACAGACAAACAGCAATTTGCCCCCGTTTTAAATTCGTTTCGAGGCACGCGTGTTTTCGCATAGGTATACATAATCGATATCGAGATGATCGTGCTGCGAAATTACTCGATGAATTACTCTGTGCGTGTACCGATCACGTTTCTCACACGAGCAGCTTGATTATTCCAGAAATTAAGTACACTCCTGCGCGCGCGCGATCCTTTGTCCACGTATGTACAGAGTGTCCCAATTGTTTTCAATTAAACTTCGTCAGTATATTCTACAAGTGCAAGAAAAAAATGTCATATAAACATAGGTTGTTTGAAGCTTCGTTAGAAAGTTATAACAATAAAACGAAATACTCGTGATCCTTTGTCCACGTATATACAGGGTGTCCCAATTGTTTTCAATTAAACTTCGGCAGTATATTCTACGAGAACAAGTAAGAAAAAAATGTCATATAAACATAGGTCGTTTGAAGCTTCGTTAAAAAGTTATCACAATAATACGAAATAGTCATTACATTACTTATAAAAAATTCATATCATTACGCGAAAACCATCTCAAATTTGAAAAATCTATTCAAGCCATCGTATTATGTATAAAAAATAACGAAACTCCGTCCCCTTCTAGTTTCCCCATAAATCTACCACTTACGAGAAGAAAAGAAAACACTGGAAACTAACAGCGTGAACACCCTGTATATTTCTACCGATACACGATACTATCTTTGCCGGAGAAATGTAATTTCAATCATACAATGTTTTCGTACAAATCTAACAAGTGACCTAATACTTAACGAACGCCGGTGTACTTTGAGCTCGTCCTTGCACGTTTAACGCGCCGAGCATATTCGGATAAAGCGACTCTAAGTGCGGAACGATAAATTTAAATGTTCCATTTACTTTGTCCTTCGTGCCGCGGCTGCGGTGAATGCCGTATTGCGTTTATACAGAGTGAAGCTTGAATGTCCGTGCTTGTTTTCAAAGTAACGAAAATATCACTGTGGCGAATGTTGCACGATTCGATAAGAAAAAGAGTAAGAGGGATAATATTCCGAAGATTATTCCTGTTGATGTTTCGAGGATCGTTTAATTCCCCTTTAACGAAACAGGATGTTACCGTAGCAGTGCCGAATTCATTCGGCCAAATTGTACATCCACCTTTTTCCCCCTATCTTCCTGCATTTGTGCAGCTTTTCACTTTCACTTGCATCTCTCCTTCCAATTTCTCCGTCTATTCTCTTCTCTTCTACAGTCGCAAAATTTTGCCAGAACCGTATGAGACTGAACATGCAATTTCCACTTTCTCTCGATCTTCTACTTTTCCACACTTTTCGGCGGAACCTTCTATAGCTATCTCTCTGTTTCCGCGAATTTTGCTGTCTATTTTCCTCTATCCTATTTTCGTTATTTTTCCCCTTTACGTACTTTGACCATTTTCTGCAGGAAACGTTGCATCAGGTACCTGATCTTACACCAAAATTCTGTCTGCGAACAGCTTTGTCTGACTTCTAATTACTTTGAGCTGATTACGTTTTAACGTAAATGGAAATTTAGTGTAGTTTGTTATCTTGTATTAATGAAAAGTTTTATAAATGAATAGTGTTTGTGTTTGGAAAGCTCTTTGCACTGTGACGTCTGATAATTCAGCAGACAAGCGTGAAAGTAACAGACTTGCACTTTATGTTTCTTATGTAACCACGTAAGATATTTTAATTAAAACTTCGATACTACATTTGCCTCATTTTACTTCCTACATTTATATTAAAAAAAAAAGCTGAAAACTCCATTTAAGATAGCTCGATTAATTTTTAAATTCTGGATAAAGAATTTGGTCCTTTGCTAATTTATTCTTCTCTTCAAATCAATTTTTAGCGATTATTTGGCTTATTACTTAGCAGTTTCCTTATTTGTAGGAATAATAAGTAAACAAGATGTATTATTGCTAATTACTACGTTAAGAAGTGTTCAATTTTAATAAATCAGAAATTAATTTTAATCTCCAAGTGAAAAATATTGTGAAAAAGAACTTCGTACCGTTTAAAAATTTGCAATTCACGTTTTTAACTCTAATGAAAAGGGAATAAAAGAGAACAATAATATACATAGCGTATCAATTTAGTACGAATTGTCCAATTGTAATTAATAATTATTTTCATTGCTTTGCAACGCACAGAAGAATTTCTATTAATATAAAATGTTGAGTAACAGGCAAATCATAAAATGAAGAAATGTTATAGCTGGTCTGTGCTACAGTTTCAATTTTACCCAGAAATTCTCGTAAAAGATATATCTGAAACAAATTCCCCGTAAATAATCAACATAAACTTGTTTTCTTCCCAAACCGTGAAACGAGTAGCAAATTCGCTTGTTGCGTTTTGGCATCTGGCCCAATGGAACAGACGGGAGTTGCATGCTCTATGAATTCTATTCACTTATTTTTGTGCAAATCGTTTAGCTTCTAGATGTACTTTAATTTCAATCCTCTAATCCTTCAATGGAGACACGAATTTATTTTAAAGAGGTGAATAAAAACTTAGTTATTCGAACATTTTTATCAAGGCATTAATGCAATTTTATTCTATGCAATTTTGCACCTTCAAATTTCCTATAAATTCATCAAAATCCGCAGTCTAGTGATATCTAACACCTTTCGTCAGTCACTCGACATTTTACCAAATTTTACGCAATTTCAGAAGATCCATCGTCCACATTTTTCACCCACAATGCTCATTTACCTTTGTACATCAAAGTCTTATTCTACCCCTGTATTTAAATAAATAAACAAACAATTAAAACACTCCGTTCAAATATCAATCCAGCTTCAGTATACTCGAATACTCGAACGTTGAATTTTCAAGTAAAAACAAAGATGTTGAGTTGAAACAGCAAAAAGAAGGCACGTCGATTGAAATATTCTTACATGTACAATACGTACATACTTTCGCCTGGCTTCGATGTATTTCAATTTCACAAGTTCGCCTCAAACAAGTTCCTCTTTATGCCCTTATTTCTCGAGCATGTATACCGAGCAAAGAGGGTGTAGTGTCGAAGATAGAAACATCACGTAGGCGCTCCGTGCTGAATTTCAATATGTCCAAACTCTCGAAGGAGCGGCACGGGACAAATTCCGGATGACATAGCTCCCACGATTTCGTGATGGGACAGCATAACGCCAATCTACGGATAGCACGTTCTTACCTCAAAATGTCTACCCGTGTCGGCGGAGCCTTCTTCCAAAGTAGTCTCTATGTGGAAATCAAAGCTAAACAACCGGCGAATAAGACAGGAGTCAAAAGTAGATATGTCAGCGTGTAACGTTTTGGTTGAATTTAACAAAGACATCGTGTACGATGTAAAAATTAGAAAGGAAAAAGATGTTTGTAGGAAAATGAAATTTTTTAAATTTACGTTTGTTTATTGTTTTTGCTAATCAAAAGAGTACATTCGGAAAGCAATATTTCTGTGAGAAGAAGAAGGAGATATTTGATAAATAGAAGAAAGGTAGAAAGAGACTGTAAAGTAGTAGAGCCCCTGGCCAAAAAGTCAGGGCCACTCATAATTTTCAACATCTTTCGTATTTTTAATCAAACTTAAAGGCTTGAACATAATTTAATAACTACTAAAAAAAATAAAAAGTATTATCGTGTGTAAATGTTTGTCAAGTAATAAATGAGGTGAATTAATTTTAGTAGATTTATTCTAAATTAAATTGAAAATAGAGGACTGCGAATTAAATTCTGCAAATAAATATAAAAGCTGCAAATATTATATTTACGTGTGAATTAATTTTTCAATTATAAAAAAATTAATACTAAAGGAAAATGTTGAAAAAGAGTACATCTATTTAAAATTAATTGTTTTTCCCTTTCGAAACTTCTTTTTGTGATTATTCAAATCTAAAAAAAATTAAGATTTCGTACAATTGAGGTTCCAAGGACTTACTTAATGATTATGTTAAATGCACGTTAGTATAAGTACTATATTAGTGTAATTTAGAGGCACTTTCAACCAAATTTTAGTGCAAATTATTCCAAATAATGGTAAAAAGATATCTCAAAATGAATGTTTAAAAATTTGTCCAGTATAAAAATACTTTCAAGTAAATTCTGAAACATAAATTTATATAAAAATTTCCACCTACTTGTGAAATCCTTAAACAAGTAAGAACCTTTTAAGATAGAAATTTTTCAAGAAAATTTCAAACTTGTGTTTCATTCGTACGTTCAGATTTAGGAAGTTATTTCGAAAGCTTCTGAAACTTTTTTCTACTTGCTCAATTTTAACGGCACGCACATAAATTCCTGGCAAATATAGATGCGCATTCTATAGCTTCGTCTTTTTCTGATCGCATTCCCGTCGGTAATATTGCATCCCGCAATGAAATGCCTTCACGAAAATTTCTCCTTTTTTCTTAACAGAAACTCGGATATTTCCACCTCTTGCCGCGTTAAAATTGACTTCACGCGATAAGATTGAGCAGATAATGTTGAAATTAAAATGTGACGCGTTCATATCGACTCTGTAAAACCAACCCTACAATTTTTAATATATATAATTGCCAAATAATCGTAAAGCACGTTCTTTTAATCTGCCCTAAGTATACGGGGGCTCGTTGGAAAAATTGAGTAAACTGAATGATAGTCTCAGTGATCATCGGCAAAAAGTATTCTCCTTTCAAGGGGACTTAATTTCTCGTAATACACAGGGTGGGCCACGTAAAACAAGCCACGTAATTCTTTTCTCTAGCTAAGGTAGTACGAGAAAATTTTGAGACGTAATTTAAATGGTTGCATAGGGTGAATAAAATGAAAGATAAACTTTTCTATTTTCTCTTTTTCTCAGGATCACAAGGTACATTTTTGTCTACTGTATGTTGTAGCAAACATTGATGTGCATTTAAACATGCATAACAGTATGACCATAAAATGACCTTAGACTCTAAAATGTTTAATCAAAAATGAAATTTCCTTTCATTGCTTGCCATTTTTTTCCATCAAAAAAATTTGAAACCATTTAAATTACGTCTAAAAATTTTCTCGTGCCACCATAACTATAATAGAAAAGATAATTATGTGGCCTGTTGATAACCCTGTACAATTACTTGTTGCAACTTTAAAATTCAGTTAAAAGAACAAAAGAGAAAAATGTCGTGGTGTCTTAAACTTTATACAAATCTAACTTAAAAAATAAACCACACAAACAATAAAGTGGTAAAACTGATATAACTTGATTTACATCTTCGCGTAACCATCGTATTTTCTGTCATTAAAATATCGTAAAGTTATTACACGAGTCTCGTTGTATCATACATGCATTTCCCATCTAAGGCTACAAAAGGAAGTTGTTTTTCACTTTTCTCTCACGACCGTGCTTACAGTGGGCTTTACGGTTCTGAAAATGTTCTGCATCGAATCATAAAGTAGTTTTGTTCAGATTGCTAAAGTATCAGTCCTTTTCAAGTTGACATATTTTTCCTTCGTGCATAATGTTTCCGACGTGACAACCAATGCGAGAAAGGAAAGGCTCCATACAAATGTATCGACATTCTCATTCTCATAACTTTAACGCGCGTGCAAAGACATTTCTGATAAACATGTGCAATTAGCAATTTCTCTTTTCGTAGATTTGTGACATTTCGATTATTAAATCCTCTGCTGCAAATGTGTTACACTATTTTTTACTTTCAAGAGTGTCATGGAAGTAAAATAATAAACGCGTGATTAATATTTGTTGCTGCTAAAAAATTCGAATGCTGTTAATTTTTATTTTACAATACCATACAATTTTTATTCGAGAAATTAATATTTTGTATAATTTTCATATAGGTATTAATATCTTAATATTTATTAATATTTTCGAATAAAAATTGTTTTTTTACTTTCGTGGTTCCGGAGATATTCAAGATGGGAATTCTTGGAGGCTTAATTTTTAAGCATCTCAACACCTGAATATAGAAACACCGAAAAATCGAAATATGAAGTTATCTCAAGGCGCCAGTGTCCAATTACTCGAGCATCTAACAAAGTATTAAAGTACTTAAGTGGACTATCTAAATCGAGATCCTACTTCATTAGCCGAGTATCTAAATACTCCGGGTGTTCGAAGAGTGGAGTACCAAAACATTGTATAGTACCCATGTACTTGAGTACTTGATTACTTCTTACAAGTTCCACATATTTAAACAACAAAATATTTGGACATGTTGAATACCAGAATATTTAACCCTTTGCACTCGAGTGGCGACTGAGAAGCGACATTGTCTGCCACTTGGTAAAAAATTGATTTTACTAGCTATTTTCAATGTAATTAGTAAAAACAATTGTTTAACACGTTAAGCGCGGCGTCAGTCCGTGGGGACTGACAGTGAACTTTTCGTTTGGGTGCCGTCGGTCCGTGGGACCAGCACGTCTCCTTCTTTTTTTTTTTCCAATTTATGAACACTTCTTCTATCAACCCGGATTGGTATTTCTTCGTCTGAATGTCGTGTGAGCGCATTTGTCATCTTCTGTTTATACTCTGTAACCGAACAGCTCGCGAAGTGATCGCCGCTGTGTGCCGCCTGAACGGAAAGCAGAGCGAAATCGGCTCCGCACTCAACGTGTTAAATTGGTTCCCATCAACCAAATGTCTTTTGAAGTGCATTTCGAATAAAATTCTTAGAGTTATTGAAAAGAAACTTAAAAAAAAAGAATTTAGAGTTCAAAGGGTTAACCTATCAGAATACACTGGTTTCTTAGGCAAAGAAACGTAAGTATTGTACATAAAACAATATACAGGAACAACGTTCACACGAATCGTGCAATTTCACATGAACAAAAGTAGCTTGTCCGTTTGTAAATCTGGTACAAAGGTGTATGTGCAACAACGCTGCTTTTAGAGAAGTTGCACAAGTATTATGGACAATAGGTTATCTGTCGGGAGAGCTTCGAATGCTTTCGAAAGCATACTTTAGCAGTCTTAAGGACAGTTATTCTACGTTTTCACGACTAATTGTAAGAAGCTTTATTCACTCTTTCGCGTATCCCGTTTTATGTCGACCAACGGAGATATGTATCAGTACACATTTCCGCTTCTGACGAAAACGCTTGTATACCCTGTGGAAATATACGCGGGATTAGGATTCCTTATACTGCGCTTTTATTTCTCTACTTTGCTGTCGAACGATCAGAAAATGGGCTATTCTGCTTTAGAACGCTTGCATACGTATGCACATGGAATATACACAGTGTGCTAATATAAAAAGAGAGTTTCAACGTTTAAAATCAGAAACTTAAATACTATATCGTTTTTCGAGAAGGAAAATATCGTTAATTAACAAACGATTTAACAATTACGTTGAAAAAGCAACTGCACAGGTGTTAATTAATAGGTAGATACTCTTCTTTTTTTTTATTATAACTACTTTTAATTATAAACATGCAGTTAAA